ACAGACACAGAGTTAAACACTTATAACTATAGCGCGTCAATCAAGCGTTTGTTACATCGCTCTTTGTATGTAAATTATAGAGCATGACGGATTTGACCGATACCCATAGTGTGAGTTTATCTCGCCGGGTCTTACCTGAACCTCGCAAGCAGTACGGTGACCATCGGGCGATGGTCGATCTATTGTTTTCCACTGACTGGGGTGAAGCGAGGTGTGAAAATTTCACCTGGAGTGGATGGGTGATCACCTCGGGCGATGTACGGTAAGTCTTATTGTCCAGGTGTCAAACATAAAATAACTGGGTTTGAAAATATTGATTTCACGAAATATTTTCCCCACGAACTTGTCCCAAATCCAAAACAACGAAATTTAACCACCAACGTAAATATATGCTTTTACAGTATACTATGATTTAAAAATTAAAGTACAAATCAACTTCTCCACGGTCGGTTGCTGGTTACTTAATCAGATAATGAAATAACAAGATTTTTCCTTTGTTAAAGAAATAATTAACTGGGCCAACCTACCTGCAAACATATAAACATGCACACGTATGTACAATCAATCATATCAACATGTTTTTTTCATAACAACCACTTACCTATACATTCAACAACATTTTGCACATACTTGTACAATTATACCCTCTTGTCAAATACAGCTTTTTATACATTACATACCAAGTCAACCCACTTTTTCACTAACATTTTATGCGAGGACCAGGCTGCCTGCGCTAAGTAAAACGAATTCAGTACAAATGTCACTTTAGTATTTGAACATTGTGTTAGCAGGAAAAAAGTATTTCAGTATTAGCAATAGCAAAACAGTCCTATAAATAAATATTTGCTTTTGTCTATTATATTTTAACATGAACACCGATAATTCTCATAATACATTGTCACAGTTCCTTAGTTTAATGATTTTTCCTTGACGCTTACAAGTAGTGATTACATTTAATTATCCTTCAATGCTTAGTTAGAAAGTTCATACAGACCAACAGCTATATTTATACACCTACAATTTCAACATACATGTCCAATACAATGTACATCCACATGTAAGGTTTCTGTGCACGATTATACATTACAAACAAAGTAAACCTACTTTCTCATAATAAAATTGTATGCATGGGATGCTTGCACCAATTAAAAAAGAATTCAGAACGAATGTCACTTTCAAGTTTAAATATATTGTACAACAGGAAACAGAAAAAGAAATACCAAATGTCACTGCGAGTACATGCACCAGAATGTGACGAGAATTACGGCCCGTGATATTCTTGTCAATCAAACAACAGCGGAGCATCGACAAGAACATCAACCAATCATCGCGAGGGCCCACCTCTCTACCGCGCGTGATTGACAGGTATATCAACCAATGAAACGGTGCCATTTTCGTGTAAGATCAGTGCACAGAACTTATCTTAACACATATTGTATATCAATTACATCATTCACACGGCAATATATTTTATCTATATATGTATTTGATAATGATTACTAATACTACTGGAACTATGAGTGAAATGTACTGATACCTAATATATTACGTTAATACAGAGAAGGTATCTGGTTATGATAGAAAGGAAACCAAAACAAAATACCTTTAGTTTATATATTATTCTGATTGTCATGGTTGACCTGAAGCGGAAACGTATATACTACTTACGGCTTTATATGTCTCTGTCTGAAGACAGGTAATACAATATTCAATATTAATTCTGATAATTCATATATTTAACAACCGGATCACGCTTAGCCTTTTATATAAGAAGTTTCATAGGTTCTAAATTTTAGTAATCACAGGTTCGTTAGACGAGAGCAACTGTTTAGACTATACACCAAAGTCGTATATATTGTAATATAACGTCTCTGGTTAAGAATAATGCTCTATTTTTTTTCTCTCTTTACTTTATACAGTTTTGATAACTGACATACGGATGCACATTATCTTTCTGAAATGGTTAAGTTCGCTTTAAATGAATAAAGAAACAAGATATTTCGAAAATTTCGTTCACTTTAAACACATAAGTGTACGTAACTTAAATGGTATTTTTTCTAATGAAAGCCTTTGTGGAGATCATTGTCATTATCACTCGAAGTTTCAACAACCCGGGAGCTTACATTGCTGTTTTAGGAAGTTAACAGGAGTACCTCGGATACCAGATGTGTAACTCATTAGTGTATTCATGCAAAAGATACATTGTTGAAATGTAAACATACATTGTTGAAATTCATACATTCCGATGACGTCACGTTGTTGACTGACAGGACGGCTGGATTGTGTGTTCATTTACATACGTTTACTTTGATGACATAAATGGACGCGTTTTATGTAAAGAAAAAGGCTATAAATATAAGGATTAACTTTCTATTCAATTTAGGTTATCGGGTGATAACTACAATGGAACCCGGGTAAATTATTTTTTCTTTATCACCCGATAACCTAAACTAAATAGAAAGTTCAACCTTAAATATTATAACATGAAACATTAAATCAGAAGGGATATTCTTACGACAGTACAGGAAAGATAAAGTTCCATTTAATTGAAATTATATCAGTAATGATTAAAAAAACACCAAAATATGAATAAAATACATTTATGTTAAATACAATAGAAATTAAAAGCTGAGAGGACAGGTGATCGGGAATCTCCTTACTAAGAGGATTATATAAATCACAAAACTATTAACAACATAAAAAACGATTGAAAGGTATATGAAGCAAAATAGGAACGTAAACTGTCTTAACATATATATATATATACAGTGGTTCGTTTATGAACATTTACACAATCGGTTCATCATTTGCACGAGTTTATCAATAAATACTGGACAACTAGTACCTCGGACCGAACGGAGCCGGGGGATATAGTTTACGTAATATAAGTTGTATACGACATCGGGACGTACTTATCGTTCGTCATTAAATATCGTTAATATTGAGAGTTCATATTGTGTCTTTGATTATTATATGAGTGATCAGAGACGTATATACTGGCTTCATGTGTCCCTGGAGTGATGTATCAAAGCACCAGTTCAGCAATACGGTAAAAGTTATGCATTATTCTCAAATGGTCGTTCATTTCGATCCTAACCCTGGCCGTAGTACAAAATAAGCATTATTTCCTTGGTCTTTATTTATTTCATTCGAAGTAAATATAAGTGTACTATCGACCTGTGTTATTATATCGTTTTGATTACGGAATTAGAGCGACCGTCTTTGCATAGCTATACCGACAACACGGCCAGCAAGGCAGGGACTATAGACTGCCTCACCTGTACGGGCTTCGCCGGAGCGCGGCTACATCAAAGGGAATACCGCTGTGCGAGTGAGCGGGACAACGACTTAATTTTCGGGGGCCAACAACCAGTTTTCGGGAACAAAGGCACAATCTTATTGAATTGTTATGTTCCTGAAAATTGGTTGTTGTCCCTGAAAATTGGTTGTTGTTCCTGAAAACTGGTCCATGTCCCGACAACTTGGATATGGTTTTTAAATTTAAATGGTGCTCCGCTAATTTGGAGAGTGTTTCCGTAATTTGGGCCATGCAAATATGATTTAGATTGTACATCATTAAGTTAGCCATGCATAGATTATTTAGCTGGTACGTCATTAAGTTGGGTCATGAATTTATGATTTAGATTGTGTTTTGTAAAATTCAATGCTAATTGAGGTTTACTGGTATAATAAGGTAGATTAAGTCGTAGAATTGATTTTTTCGTCCTTAAGTGTTTCTCAGTGTCCCTTTTCGATCTATATGAGGACTTTTCCTTTTATTTTCTCTTGGAAAACGCCCATATTAATGTTGACACTATCAAATGATTTGAAACAATTGATGTTTCTTAACTGTCTAATGGTTTGGTTTTATTTTGTTTAACGTCCTATTAATGGCGAAGGTCATTTAAGGGCGTGGTCCAAGTGCAAACGAGCTCATTGCAATATTTGGGATCTTTATCTTTCTTTCTACTTCTAACTACCTGTAATTTTCTAGCGCCTTGCTTGTCAACACACCGCTTTTGGCCTGAATGTTGAGAGTTCGCCCAGGTGAGGAAGACAATGGGTTCTGTCATCAGGCCGGGACATACCAAAGTCCTTAAAATTGTAGTTGTTATTTCCTGCTTAACGTTTAGCATTAAGTGGAATGACAGCAACTGGTTCACCCGCTGTCATTATAATGTGACCGGGCGGAATTCTGTGCTGGGTGCCTTCAGCATGGCTTTTCAGTGAGATAGCACTATAAAGTCGGCATCAGATCCCCGCTATAACAAGGAGGCAAGTACACCAACATACCCTGTCTCCGGCACAAATACACAACACAAGCCATTAAATGACCTTAGCTTTTAATAGGACGTTAGACAAAATAAAACCAAACTACTATTTTTCAGCGGTGTCGCCTAAGGCACCCACTTTCATGTTACCTTAGCTGTTTCAGGGACGTTAAACAAAGTATACTGCGTCCATTTTCTTAAACTCAAACCACCTGGGATTTCAACAGAGGATAAGGTTTGAAGATAGAACATACAATGACCGATTTGGTAACCTTTTTGCCAGTAAACTTCTATATAAAACTAATTGATCGGTGTCGCAAAAATAGTGTGACTTCCAAGCCTAGCAAATGATAAAGTGGTTGCTTTTCATCATGGTAAATACATGTGAATTTCCAGATGTAGCGTGTTGATATTATCAGCGAACCCCGAAGCTTATTCAGGTATTTAAAATGTATGGTGCATCTCGGTTTTCAAAATCATTTTTCTTGAATATAAGATTATAAAACACAGCTAGTCTCCCCGATCACCATGGTAACCTGTGTACATGTAAACACAGGTAGTCTCTCCATCACCATGGTAACATGTGTACATGTAAATACAGTTGGCCTACCCATCACCATGGTAACCTGTGAAAATAAGACTCGGGTACGAGGTAATGGGCTTTTGTCTCGGGAAGAAGGTCGGCTGAATTGCAAGACTTGAATGACCTACAAACGGTTTGTTTTACAGGTATGAAGTGGTGGAACCTTCGGACCGACAGTGGGGAATACTAAACGCTAATGGCACATGGACCGGCTTAGTTGGCCAGCTGGAAAAATGGGTTCGTTAAACTTTCGTGTCACTACAAATCCATCTCCGGGTTTCGATTAACAATACATTTCTAATTACATTGTATGAAAAAAACAATTCGTTGATAATTGTTTTTGTGAACGTCTCTTTTTTAAAGTGCTGTTTTGACCTAAAGGACTTAAACAGTCGATATGCTGTAAAAAAGCTTCTACGCATGCGGTTTACCATGTGACATGACACTTTAAGGTATCGCAAAGTAGCTCTTCCATCGTGGAAACAATCGTTGTTTAACTTAACACGTAATAAACTGAAGCAAATTCCCTTTTATGCCGTAGGTATCACCAGTTATAAAACATTTTGAATCCCAGCCACTTGAGGAAGTTTCTAGTTAGATGAAAATTTGCTGAGCTGTTCAGAAGTACTTGGAAACAATTGTTGATGTAGGGATGCCTGAGGTAAAGTTACAAAATAACCTCACATAGGTCCTTCGTACTAGTTTGCCTTAAAGGTTTTTGCCAAAGTCTAAACATCATATGACCATACAAATTGTATTTAGTATAAACTCTTCTTTTTGTATTTTGACAGGAGGTAGACCTAGTTGCAGCGCCTCTGTCCGCACAGGCTAAACGCGAGGAAGTAATGGACTTCACGTATTCTTATTACATTGACTACACCACCATAATAATGAAGAAACCGGACCCATACGAGAAAAAATGGCGCACCCTTATCGACCCGTTCAGCGAGCAACTTCTACTTTGTGTTTTGATATCCCTGCCAGTTATGTCGCTGCTGTTATTCCTGTTCGAGCGTTTCAGTCCTTACTACGCGCGGGAAGACGATGGAGAAGGGATGGGTGGTCTACATACGTACCAAGACGCCTTCTGGTACATGTATGGCGCTTTGCTCACACAAGGTATGTTTACTCGCATCTACAATCACCATGGTAAACAACAAAAACTACACAGAAGCAGAGGTATACTGTAACACGACATAGTTGGATTTTTTTTATGTTGGGGGATATAGGAATCGTCCTGTCCGTCCTTCTGTCTATGATCCTCCTTTTTTGATCATATGTAGATGTGTATGAAAAAAGGAATTTGCAATTCAACCTTTTTTCCTGAACTTGTCAACATTGAACTTGAAATTTCCGCTCCAAAAACTTTATATTCGCGACTTCTTAACTGTTTGTTCATCATATATAGATGTGCATGAAGAAAATGATTTGTGTTCGACTACTTTGCCTGGTTCGACTTTAATTTCTGCTCCAGAAACCTTGTTAGCGCAACTCCACCTTAACCATTGTTGCATGCTTTTTGTGACTTAGCACAGGGAACATTTGATGTACATGTGCATGAAAGAAAGAATTTGTGATTGGGGTATTATACCCTTTGCAAACAAAGCTTAATTACGTGGGTAAAATGAAGCGGGGTATATTTTGTGAGCTCTATATTACGATAATGTAGTGTATGATATATTTTATAACACATGTGTTTGCCGTTGATGTTTGTTGCATCTTTTACAACTTTTAATGTTCACTTCTTGAGTGACCCCATCATCCGTGGATCAAGTCTACGTGTGACCCTAGTTGTAGCAAGTACCCAAAACTCTCTGATCTTACAAATGTTGCAGTGTTTTTTTTATGCAACTATACAAATTGGGGAATCCAAAGCAATATACACATAATAATTATGATGACTTTTTTCCGACCGCATGAATTCTGTAATACGAATATGTCTTTTAGGTGGTGAGTACCTACCACAGTCACAAACCGGACGTACTCTATTGAGTTCCTGGTGGCTATTCTGTATCATTATGATGGCCACATACAGCGGGAATCTGATTGCTTTCCTGACCGTGACAAAGGACAAACCGCCATTCACTACCGTGGCAGGCATGATACAGATGGACAACTACCGCTGGGGCACGATAGGAGGCAGTTCCTGGATTGATGCGTTTAATGTAAGCAAACTGCAGACTGTTTGTAATGTTTGGTATTCCAAAATATTGTTAGCAAGGCAAGTAGGCGAATATCATTCAACCTTCATACCAACATGCCCTGTCACCGGCACACATACACACACGCATACATACACAACCAGATGGAGGCACGTCCTTGAATGACCTTAGTTGTCGTTAAACTCTATAAAACCAAACCAAACTTCATAAATAATCACTAGCGAAACGAAGTAATTTGGTTTCGGATTTATTCTGTTCAACGTCCTATACATTGCTAAGGTCATTTAAGGCCCTGACTCTATGTGTTAATGTATGCATGTCTTTGAGCATGTGTGTTCACAAAAATGTACATTGATGTATTTGCCTCCTTACAATAGCACGGATCTGATGTCAACTTTAGAGTGCTACCTCACTTAAATGCAATGGCGACGGCAAACACTGTATTCCACACATTAAACTGACAACGGTCAAGCCTGTTATTTCGATAACCTCAAATGCTGAACGATAAGCAAATAACAATAGCAGAATAGCAGATAACATTTTTAAGAACTTTGATATATCCCGGCCTGTGGACAGCAATGAAGCGCTACAAATTGTCGAGTATAAAATTAATTGATACACAAACAAACAAACAAAATCCAAAACTTGAACGGTGCAGAATCGTGATACTATGAGAAAGTTTCTTTGAATAGGGGATCGTCCAATGATTGAGTAACTACCTCTCAGACAACTGAAGGGTCAGTGATACCCTGAACAAACTTAACACTGTCCATGAACTGTTGTTAAAAGGTTTTAAGATTCACTTTGAATAAATATATTTTTCACTTCCCAACTCTTCACGTTCGGCGTTTTCACCCTAGGCACCAGGATTGACATGAGGCTGGCTGGTTTGAGGACATTTAACCAAATATATATAAACAATTTTTTAGCTGCAGTCTTAATATTTATTGAGTTCTATGAATGTTTTGACTCAGAAGTTAAAAAAACCTCGCTAGTTGTCACCAAAAGATATATCTAGAGCAACGTATGACCTTCGTTTACGATGAAATGAGATAAATGTATACTCTCCGTTTGAAAACATCATGGCTTGTCAATGTCTTGCCATATCTCACCTATGTGTAATTGGTACTTTCTACTTGTTTTGTCATAAACACCATATCAAGGTTATTTAACCAATTTATTGCTTCCAGGAGACTAAAGTATCAGACTTCAAGAAAGTATGGGCAGGGATGTTAAGATTCAACGCAAGCGATCCAAGTGTGCTAAGTCCGAAATCAAGTGTGCACTTTGACAAAGTGCTTGCCGGAGATTACGCTTACATCGGAGACAAAACTCAAATGGAAATCAAAATGGCCGAAGAATGTTCCCTGTTAATGGCCGATGAATTTTTCTTGCCATTGCAATACGCCTTTGGATTTCCAAACGTATCTCCATATACAAAAATATTTTCAGACGAGTACGTATAATGTTTATAATTATTATTCATTTATCTTTTTTGTTTTTTAATTTTACAGATATCAACACAGTAGAGTGATATATGGAAAGGCGATTGAAAATAACTAAAAGTATTTAAAATGACAAAGTTATATATAAGGAAGTAACGATGTCAAGTATTTAAATAGGTACCGCAGATTAGTTTCGTTCTTGTAAAATCGCCTCATTCTGATTAGTTACCATAGCATACATAGCATACATAGGTTATAGGATGACATGTAGTTAAAAATGTGTGTCGTACAGTTTTACATTGATATATTTTTATTCATACTCAGGTTACTGTACGTACACGAGAGCGGATTACTGCATATATGGAAAACCCGTCGATGGCCCCAGCGTAGTTTCTGTGCAAGCGAGTTGGTGACAGTGGCCAAGACAATAACACTTGTGGATGTCCAGAGCGCGTTTTACCTTATTGGGATAGGCCTAGGTCTAGCTACATTGGTATGCGGCATGGAGAAGGTCGCGTTTTGGTACAAGAGCAGGTTCAAAAGTAAACAAGCCGCAAGGCATCGCAAATCCGTTTGTAGCGGGCTGTCTATGAACAAAGACTCGACTGAAAATGCAAATAATCTAAAGAGCACAACGAAGAGCTAAACGTTGCTATTTACTTCAAGTTAAAAGAAAGGCATTTCATCACAATGGTCTAAGTTTAAGTTTATGCTGAATAACTGGGCCGTTTTCGTTTATCGCGGTCCAAACGGTTAAACCACTCGGACCAGAGTTTTTCGTTTATGAAATGAGGTCGTACAAAGTAATATGATGCTGCTTTCAAGCGAGCCTTGAACAGGCCTTGCAATGCCTGCATTAAACTTTTGCAGGTCCGTGAGGATTTAGCCCGAAAATGCTACATTTGATAACGGACAAACCGGTTGTTTCGCATAAACGAACAGGCCCCTGGTCGCATAAAAACGTTTTAGAATAGAAGACTCGTGGACATTGTACATCATCTCATAAAATGTAAATATGTTGTGTAATTACTGTACAATCCAGATATGTTACTTTTGTTAACTTAAGGGTTTCAATAATAGGTGGATGGGGGATCTGTTGTATCTCACTCTATGTTATCGTGAGGGGTTACTTATATTAGCCCCTAAGCACATGTCTTCATTTTTTATGCATTGATAATTGCTGATGCGTTTAGCCTCAAACACACAGTGGTTGTGCAGAAACCTTAGTTTTCATATTCGTTGAAAGTAGTTGACGTTTTGATCTTTTATATCGAAAAACTTTCGTGTAAAGTTCAAAAACCAGACCTAATATTTATGTGATATTTCACGTCAACATTGGCAGTAACCCCCCGTTGTATTGTCTGTCGAAATAGTATAAGTATGCAAGATGAAGGCAGGTTACTCCAATTGCCATTTGTATTTCGCTTCGGAGGCATTGCAGTAAACATTCGGGTGTATTGAAATAAAGAAACAGACAAGCGGACTGATCTGCTCCTATACTTCGGATCTATATATTTCCCTTCATCATCTCCCTAGTATCTTCGTCTATTCTTTCTGTGACATGACATGAAATAGCGGCTATAAAGACGTTAAATCTTAAACAAACCTGATATCCGGACAAGATAGACACGTCATATTTAAAGGTCAAATGTTAATAAATACTGAACGTTCGGAGTTGATTTGGACCTTTAATTTCTAACAGATGTGGGTCATTCATGGGTCATTCATGTCGCTGACTTTGGTTGAAAGATAACGGTCTAAAGACATATAAAGGTGTCCACTGGTGATTTGGCTAGTTTAAACTCATTTATATTGAGATGTCATAGCCTTTTATTTTACCCCACACCAGGTTCATTAAGCGCATAAACCAGGTAAATCTCATCACATTTTCATAACACAATGTATTTGGTAGCGAATAACTCTGTATGTAACAACTATTATCTTTCAACCTTAAATATGTTGTGACTTGTCAACATCGACCACTAAATGTTATATATATTTTTTATATTAGGAATATTACTAAATATTTTCAAAATACGTGTATCATAGGTTTAAAAAAGTAAATACATTTAATACATTATATAATAGTATTAACATGTACAGTAAGAACAATACAATTTATAATATAATCACCTTTTCATTATTAACAAGTATGAATAAAATTAAATTTCAACTTGAAGTTATGTATCAATTTCTTAAACAACGTCTTGTTAATTGGGGCTTTCTTTCCTGGTGCAGATTTATTTTCATTGTGTTTGCGTAGATGCCACATCATAGCAACACAATTGAGTTGTTATATAGAAATAGCCAAAATATGGTATTTTTGGATAGTTAGCATGCAAAAATGGAAACCTCCGCGTTTTTACGAATGAACACTGGTATGACGATGTTTGGTGCATGTGGAGGCTTTCAAAAATTGAACAGTGTTTAGTTATTTGCTTAAAATTGCTCAATTTCAGTGTGATTACCGCACATAGACGATATTCACGCTTTTTTATTGTTTAAACTCCTCTTTGTTACGCCATATCTCCTATACCAGTTATCGAATGAAAATGATTTTGTTTTATCATCGTGCTTTATTTATCCCTGATAAAGAATATAAAAAGGCCGGAAATGACATTAAACGTCCCTATTCGATTGGTTATATTGGGAAGATATTCTTAATGAATGGGTTTACAAACATTTTGTCTTTCTTCAAATTAAAGACAGAAATGTATTTATAATAGGTCATTATTTACCATTTCAAGTCTAGTGAAGTCACATACATTTCATTTTATTTTATTCAATTAACTTTTTTTCTGTTACGTGTGAATTTTCCCCTTCGAAATCGGGGTGCTTTTTTCTTTGTCTTCTTTGTGTTCCCTGAACGAAAAAAGGAATGATTATATTATTACTTTTTATGATCATTGAAATTTTTTGTCGGAAACCACATAAAAAGTTTGATATATACCTGTAAAGTGTACGATTTTCACAATAAGTAATAGTAAAATGACATTCTTCTTTTACTTATTGGCATAATCGTTACTTCCGGTGAATGAGGCGGTTTTTGGCTTCGACGAGTTCAGCGACTGTAACAGCCACCAGGTAGAGATAAGACGAGAGCGAGAATAGCACATAACATCAGATTGCGAATTAACATGTGTTTTGAGGAATCCGATAATGCTGAAGATGACATTATGTAAATGGTATCCATCCATATCAAATTAGCCAGAACTTTTAAACAATAGGTTTATTGGGAGATTAAACAGCAATTCACTCAACGATGTTGATGAACAATGTTTATTTTTAAAATGTAACTGGAAAGCCAGTTTGCAATCACTTCGTTTACTCTACAGTGATAACCTATTCCATCCTGTCGTTGTCGTTGAACGGCGCTATTTCGTGCCGGATTATATATATTGCAAAATCATATACTGTGGTACCGCTACGATCCAAAACTACTGAAATGTATCAGTAGAAAAAGTTAGCAGAATTACTTTTAACGTTTGTGTCTAGTATATTTTTGAATGGCAATAGAATGTATGGTATATTTGAAACATCCACCCTTACCTTCCGTGTAAAGACAGAGAGGGGGTATTGTGTCTTCCTTCTGTTGGGTCGACAAATAAACAGTAACATACCGACAAACATTTACACGTTTGATTTTATGCATCACAATTAAGTCGGTGCTAAGTTATAATTGTCTCAAAAAACTATTTAAATCATGAGTTAAAGATACATTTTTTACTCCATATATTATTATACGTAGGTCACAGCCTCAGGTTCAACAATAAAAAAATCTCATTACAGGTTGACATCAGCCTATCAAATCTGTACCATGTTTGTTTCCTTACCTGTGCTAATTACTGAAATCTTCACTATTGTAAAATGCAGCAGTGGCACGCTATTCAGGCCTTGGGTGTTTTGTTGAAATTGCCGCGTACACGGCCACACAACTTTTTATTCTCCCTTTAGGATTAGAGATTTCCATTTTTTCGCTAATGTTTACAGTGGTTAGTTAGTGCCTAAAATCGAGAGAAAAAAATCAGGACTGATATAACAATTGAAATAAGCATTGAACTGTTTTTGTATGGTATTTATGATCTCTTTGAATGACACAGCTTTGCAAGCAAACAACATAATGCGCGCTAGCGCATTATGATTTGTTTGCTTTCAAAGCTGTGTCATTCAAAGAGATCATAAATACCATACAAAAACAGTTCAATACTTATATTTACGTTTTCTCTGCCTCTTACGTTCTTTTTTAACTTATAATTTATATTTAAAATTAAAAATGCCCGCCTTATCGACAGTCCACACAATTTCGTTCAAAAGTTTGAACAGCGTATTGTCGCGTGCTGATTGGCAAACAAAGTAGTACTTTGAAATTTTAACAAACACTTCAATTTTATTCCACAATTTAGTATCAATACAATTGCGTATGATATGTCTATAGGGTGATTTAAGTTTATCAATAGAACTCTGAGCTGAAAGTTAGATTTGAAATTGTTTCGATTTTTCCCCGGAACAAATTTCGCGCATGGACAAATACAGTGAACACCGAAATCCGACCTTGCCCTCCACGAGGGAGTTATTTTTGGAAGTTAATTCGAACTTTTCTCTTTGCTCATTTTGTGAAGAATCCAGGCGTGAATTTATTTGTTGATTGTATGGGAACCTGACAACAGTCGGTAGATTCTATAACAGCCTCGTTATTTGACATGTCGTCAGAAACTGAGGAACCGTGGATGCGAGACGCGTGAAACTGATAGCGTTTGAAGTGAGTGATCTTGCGACGGAGCACAGGTTCGTTACAAATGTCTGAAATGTTTATGTGTGCTGTGACTCATATCAGTAGGTCTGTAACATATGTGTCAGTAGGTCTATAGAATATGTGTATTTCAGACATTTGTAACGAACCCCTGTTGATCAGTGCAGTGTAACAGACGATATTTCTGATAAATTGCATGAGCGTTAAAATTGTTTCCATTGCCGGCATTGGTGATTTCAACCGATGTGCATTTTGTACGATATTGCAGTTGGTCTTGTTTTCGTTGTCATAAAAGTTTTTTTTGTTTTTTTTTGCACATAAATTTACAATGACATTGTCAAATCACACAATGCCCATCGATATTTCAGCAGCCGTCATGTTCATTTATATTGGATATTGTAGTTCCGGTCAGTGTTGTATTAATACGCTTAGAATTGTGTCTCGTGATGCATGGTAATTAAAGTCCCATCAACGACACAGCTTTCAAAGAGGCTATATAGTGACAATGCCATGCAAATGTAAACATATTGATATTGAATGACAAACTTAACACGTAGGGCATTTATGACTTCCATGAATACGATAAAATAAACTTGTACATATGTATTCCGCTAAAACTGACCATACTCGCGGGCTCAAAATGTCTGACCGATCGCCTGTGAAAAGTACATGTATGCTATCGACTGCTCTATAAAACACGTGGATTGTTCGCCGAAATCTGTCGATAGCGATTGTGATACTTTAACGTGTTTGTTTGTCAGAAATATTGAGCCTGCGATTATGGTCAGTTTAAGCGGACTGATATACATGCAAACTTAAAATTTTGTACCTGAAGTGTGGCGAGTCATTCCGGTTCTCTTTCGTATTTGAAAACAATTAGCAAAGTTGGTCGTTTC